AAGTTCAAGAATTTTTTCCTCTCTTTACATGAGGGAGTGGAGGGATCCATCTGTCCCTTTCTTACCCTTTGGTTTAGCTCACTGGGGCAACTCGCTGCGATAGAGAGATTATCTTATAGACCGTTAAAGAGGGTAGAGGAGAACAACAGGAGGTGGTCCCTGCTTCTCACATGTGGGTTAAATGGCATTTCAGATGTACTTAGATTAGATGAACTCGCTGTAATGATCTAAATGTATCAGGGTCATAGGGCTTTGTTATTTTATGTATGTCAATTTTCAGTTTGTGTTTAAGTGTCTTGTCACTTTTATCATTATTATTATTATTATTATTATTATTGCATTAAGCAATTTCTGTTAGCTGTATTGGCCTCAAAGAATCCACAAGGACTAATCATTGTTTAGCTGATGGTAAATTGTGATATATTTTTCTGTTGGAAAATCAATAAAGTTCAAGTCATAAAAAAGTAAAAGGCAAATTAATCACTAATCACTCATGAAAACCCTCGCCTGTTATTCTGTAATAATGTATTTATTTATCATCTAATGAGCTTATATTTACTATTTGTTTCCGGTTCCCCTCCAGTCCAGCAGGGGGCGGAAACAGAACCCGGATCTGCTCCGCCAGCCGCCATGACAGGTAGGAAGAAGGAGAAGAAGAAGAAGATTTTCACTCAAACAGCTCAGAGAAACAGGAGAAGAAGAAAGTTTTAGCGCCACTTTCAGGACCAGATCCAGAGTTCTGCAGAGATTCGGACTCTTCGGCCCGGTTCGGTTCGGGCTGAGGAGAAGCAGAACCAGAACCTACACAGACGGATCCTCCAGCCCTATTCGGTTCGGTTCTGGAGGCTGAGGATGGGCTCTATGCAGCGGTTCCTGGACCGGTTCGGACCCAGCAGTGAAGCGGTCAGTACCACCTGCTCAGGTGTTCCGGTTCTGTCAGTGACCAGGTAACGGTTCTGGACGGGATCACGTCAGAGGTCCAGGATTCGGTTAAACTGAGAGGAGGTCAGTCAGAACCAGAACCGGTTCTGATCAGATGATTATGTAACAATAATGAGACGAGTTCTGCTGCTGGGGACCGGTTCCGATCAGAACCAACTGGACCCTCTGTTTCTGCAGACTGACAGCAGGCTGGTTCTGTTCTGTTTGGGTCCAAAGTTCTGCCTGTGTTCCATCAGTCAGAACCTCATCTGACCGGGTCGTTTACCAGAACTGGTCCAAAGGGACAGAACCGGACCAGAACCTTTCTGCTCCTTGGTTCTGAAGATAAACCATTAGGGTTTGGATCTGAAATAGAACCAAAACCAATGACCAGCAGAGGCGGAGACAGAGGGGGGCCAGGGCCCCCCCAGTAGCCCCCCCCTGATGATTGACATGTAACAGCACCAGGTCATTCCTGTACATTATTTGGAATCATTCTAAGCCAACCTAATATCTAAAGAAGAAAAACAATAATAAATATATGAAAAGAAAATGTATAAAACTTTATATAAGTCCATGTGATGACATAAATAAATAGATTTACATCAGGCGCGATACCAGCCTCCTTTATACTTGTACTCATAAAAACGAGCTGATATTGATCTCCTGGATGTTTCAAATGTGCTGCGCTGTGGTGCAACTCAAAGGCTAAAGCCCTTCATACCTGGTGGTTGTAAAACACCAAGAAGTTATTTACTGATCCTCCACAAAAAAAAAAAAAAAAAAACGAGGAGGGGCCGACAACGTTCGTAGTTTGGAGCAGAGGTGGCGATAGAGATTTTTCGTTGTCCGTCAAAGAAAAAAATAATTTTATTTCCAATTTGTAGTCATCAAACGAAACATTTAGTATTTCTCTGCGAGACCGTTTTTGAAATCAGGTAACATTTCACGAAATGACGTGATTAGAAGACGGCAGAACTCTGATCGTTTCCTGATCACTTCCTTCGGCCTGTGGGAGAAAAACCCCGCAGAAGGAGATCAGCTGCTGGTCGCTCCAAAGCCTCTGGTCCGTTAAAGCGTCCAGATCAGAGATGATTCTCTGACAGAAATTGTTCTTAGTATGATTGATAATGAGCTCCATGATGTTCTCTGTGCGTAAAGTTGAAACTTCCTGCGCACCAAGTGTCGCTGCGCTTGATCACAGTCTGGACAGAAATTAAATTAAGCGACTCCACTTAAATTACCATTAATTCACCCGCTGCGGTCTGAACGCACAGCTTCACAAATTCTTCCTGGTTGCATCTGCAGAGAAATCTGCGCTGTTCATCGACATTTGGATTTGTATGAACCAAACCGAACAATTGGACTCTGCGAGCTTTTTTTTCTTTTTCTTTTTTTTTTCTTTTTAACCCTGTGCAGGGTTCGGGCGTGCGTTTTTACCAGGATTTTTTATTTTTATTTTTTGCATGGTTTCGCTTCTCCAAAACGGACAGATGTTACGTCTGCCGCGCTCCTTCTGTGCATCGCTCTCCTTCTGGGTGCGGGAGGGTAACATCGTCAACTCCATTTGTTAAAACTGCAGGGCGAGTTAAGTTTAGTTCTTTGCAGCGGCGCCGCATTGGTTGTGCAGCGGACTGTGCATGGATCTAATTAACTTCTGCACCTTTATTTAGTTCCTCAAAATAAACTGCTGGCTCCTCCGTTTAGACTATAAATGGATTAAAACAACGTTGTATTGTCTTTAGTTTTCTCTGTTGTGTACTGGAGACTGGAGTTAAAGGCGCCATTTCAAC